GGCCTGCTCAGGAGCACAGGACGGCGTAACTCAATTTGCCAGCGACGTATCCCATTTGCGAGACTTCATAAATCCAGGCCAGGAGACAGCCGAACGATAAATATGTATGAGGTGAGGTCGTGCTAGGCCGACACCATGATGGCAAACTAATACGTAGTGCTACGTTCATTTTTAAAGTCTATTATTTGCCTGGGACAACAAAGAAAGCTATAGAAGAGTCCAGCACGCAGAACTGGCGATCTAGGAGCATGTTTCTGAATGTATAGGAAATGAATTAAGATTTTGTATAAGGCAATCCCAAAATTTTTGCGAAAGTAAATTATTTCAGTGGTTTCATTAGATTGTTGCTTTCTAATGATTAAAATTTCGGAAACCATCAATCCTGCGCTTTCATCATTTCGACAGTCTGATGATTCGTGAAGGAGAGAAAGTTCAAAAATCATATTAAAGCAGTCGCGCCACATTCGTTATGGAAGTTTCAGCATACATGAATTTCAATTTAGTAAGCTGAACATCGACACCGTTGTTAAAATTATTCATAAAATAAATTCAAATTCTAGTTGTTCTGATGAAATAGACTTGCACTTATAACACATATAATCCACTGCTGTTTAGAGAGACAGATATTTCCCAGATCAATGGCAAGACGCGATAGTTGTTTCGCCATCTAAGTGTTCTGATACTACTAATTTTGATTAACTGAGACCAGTCAGTGTTCTCAAAAGCATTGGGCGCACTGTTTAGGAGTAGCTCTGCGCCTACTTATATCCTAACAAAATTAGTCCTTCTAAACAATCTGGCTTTCGACCAGGTATAATACAGCTTCGACATCTTGCGATTTAACAGACAATATAACAATGACGCTAGACAACCAAACATCATGTAGCTCTAATACTTCTTGAGTATGAAGCATTTGGCACAATTAATCATTTACTTTTTGTATCTAAGTGCAGTTATTATGGATCTTATGGGAAACGTTTTTCGTCAATGGTTTATCGGAATAGAGTTGCACAGAGTAATTGCGTTCAATGTGATAGATCGGTTAATTGAAGTTGTCTTGTGATGTGGCATGGTGGATAAATGCAGATATCTAATGAAGTCTTTTGGATAAAATTAGATTTAAGCGAAATATAAGTTTATTTTAAAATATAATGGCTTTTTATTAACCTCAGACAGCAACCAATATTTTGAATTTTTTGTAGTCGTTTTGCTGTGGACACATGGAAAATAAAGAGTAACACAATATAGAATTTTGCATATAACTAAGCGTAACGATAAATATCGTTAATCTTAGTATCACGAAAGCGTTCGATCAGCTGCTTATGCCCACTTCCATCCTGTGCCCCCCAGAGAAGCTTTGAAGATGGGTGGCTGACTTCCTCTCTGGCTGCAAGATATCCATCGTAATTGACGGGTTCTCCTCTTCATCCCACAAAGTCAACGCGGGTGTAGCCCAGCGATCCGTCTTGGCTCCGACACTGTTACATACCAACGATCTCCTTTCCTGTGCGATCAACCCAATCCACAGCCTTGCTGGTGACAGCACTCTACATTCAGGAATTCAGAGCGACGATCTCTGTTGCTAAGTTGAAAAAAAAGAAGACTAGCGACGACTTCCTCTCTGACGAGAGACCTGGAGGTTATCACTGCTCGGGTATGCAACAATTTTGTACAATTCAATGCTTCCAAAACACAGTACGAACAACTTGACGAACAAAAAGCGTTCTACCGCTGATGTGGTTTCGATGGATGAGTTCTACTAAAAAGCAGTTAACTTCGGCTGGTCGGAGTCCAGATCATCGAGGACTTGATCTGACACGAACAAATCTCGTCAATAGCGCCATCTGGTGGGAAAAGCTAGGCTATTTGTTTAAGGCTAAGAATTACTTTTCTCCGCATGACCTTCTCACTCTATACAAGGCCCAGATAAAGTCTATCCTCGAGTATTGCTCACACGTTTGGGGTGCTGCCGCCCCGACTACACTATTTATGCTCAATGCTGTCCAGAGGAGGGCTGTCCGACTGATCGATGACTCTTCTCTAACAGACAATCTCGGGACCCTTTCTCACCAGTGGGCCGTCGGCGATCTAGCTCTCTTCTGCCGCTACACCAACAAGCTTTGCTCGTCAGAGCTTTCCTCCATAATGCCGGCGCGCGGTGTACCCTATGGCCAACTTTGGCCTCCGTCCCAACTGTGTCGAACTTCGTACATCCAGAACTGGCCGATTCGACCGCTCCTTTGTCCCGATAACAATCTACAAAAGAAGCTTTTCCCAGTTCCATTAAACTTAGGTAGTTAAAAAATCGGGTTAACAAAATTTTTTGGTATGCTTATGACAGCCGCTGTGTCCTGGCATTTAGGCTTCTACCTGCGCGGCTGCTTCAATATAAAAAATAAAACATTGGGAAAACTTGACTGATGTACTTACTGAATCTTAGTATTTAGTCAGAGACTACTCCAAGGCTATTGTAACACAATTTATTTTACGAAAATGCTTTGCTTTTTTGATTCTGTTGTTCCTCAAAGTAACGGGTGATTTTTTAAGAGGTATAGGATTTGATTTAAAAAAAACACAAAAAATTGAAAAAACGATTAAATCTTTATTTGAGTCGATAGAACGGTCGATATCATTTAATGTTTAAAGAATATTTCATGTAAATATTGGCCGCGGCTCCGCTATAGATGGCCCATGCGCAAGGTCCAATTTTGGCACACTCTCTCCAACATATCGGCCGGTATCTCAAGAATAAATGCTTCAATATTGACTTCCAGTGCGTCAATCGTTGCTGGTTCATCCCTGTAGACATTAGCCTTAACATGGCCCCACAAGAAATAGTCCAACGGCGTTAAATCATACGATCTAGGCGGCCAATTGACGGGCCCCAAACGCGAGATAAACTGTTGACCGAACTCGCCTCTCAATAGGGCCATTGTTTCGTGTGCGATGTGGCATGTGGCATCGTCTTGTTGAAACCACATGTCAGCCAAGTTCAGCTCTTCCATTTTGGGCAAAAAAAGTTTGTTATCATCGCACGGTAGCGCTCGCCATTCACAGTTACGTTCCGGCCATTGTCGTTTTTGAAGAAGAACGGCCCGATGATGCCACCGGCCCATAATCCACACCAAACAGTGATTTTTTCGGGATACATTGGTAGCTCTTGCAATGATTCTGGCTGGTCTTCACTCCAGATGCGGCAATTTTGCTTGTTAACGTACCCATTCAACCAGAAATGAGCTTCGTCGCTGAACACAATTTTTCGATAAAAATGTGGATCTTCCTCCAACTTTGCCAGCGCCCATTCACCAAATGGAAAACGTTGTGGGAGGTCGTGTGGCTTCAATTCTTGCACCAGCTGTATCTTATAAGGTTTTACACCCAAATCCTGTCGCAAAATTTTCCACGTAGTGGAGTAACAGAGGCCCAATTGCTGCGAACTGCGGCGAATCGACATTTCACGGTCATCACTAACACTGGCGGATACAGCCGCAATATTTTCTTCAGTCCTCACTCTACGTCTGCGTGTTGGTGGTTTAATGTCCAATAATGTAAACTGGGTTCGAAATTTAGTCACAAGCTTCCTAGTAGCTCCCTCAGTAGGCCGACCAAATTGCCCATAAATTGGAAGCAGTGCTCGATGCACTCTCTTAACGGAGCATGAATTTTGATAGTAAAATTCAATAATTTGGAAGCGTTGTTCGTTCGTCAGTCGATTCATGGTTAAATTATAGATCAAACTGAACAAGTTTGACAATGATACAAGACATGATTCATGCGTCATCTGTCAAAAACAGTACTGCCAAAAAGATACTAGCAAACAAATTACCCATTAAACCTTTTGTAGCATTTCAGTCAACATATGCAAAACTTATAACTCTAAGCCATAAATGGTAAGAGCACATATCCCTGTAGCTTTTTTGAATGGAAAGAGGAGTAGAGTAGCCTTGGCTGACTAGATAATAGTAAAAGGATCTTGTAGTTGCATCAACAACGCAGACAAGTTTTTCTTTAGTTTGAGTTTATGGTAATCTTTACGTTCTTCATCAGGACACACTACAAAGATAAATGTATGACAAGTTTTTCAACCATTTGCAATATCACTAAGCACAACATCCTTCTTTTGAGACAACGTAATCAATAAAAAATGTTAATTACATCAGCACACATAGCTGTCTATAAATTTGGCTAGACTCAACTAGAGTGATGTACTTTTGATGCGCTTAACCGGAACGACAGATCCGTTTGACCCGTACACCCTTAAATTTTCAGTAAATTGTAAAAAACGGCTAACATGCCAAACATTGCAAGAAACTGCACTTCTCCATACGAATAAATACAGGGGTTTTGAATCTCTAGATCGTGCATACTCGCCGTTAACCCATGAACCCTGCCAAGGGTGCTGTTTTTCCAGCGACACCACGTGGAGGTACTGCAGTTACTGGTTACTTTTGACTACTCTCATTCAAATTTTAGAGACTACAATGACGATCAAGGAGGACGAATGGATCAAGGCATAAGTGAAGTAGAAAGTTGGTATCAGGGAAGGTGGAAACTCAATACAATGACAATGTTTACAGGATTAGCATTTTTCAGAAATTTTTAGCGATTCGAAGCGGTTATTTGCAATTTATCCAAAATTCGAACAATCCTCCAGCTAAATAAGTCCAGATTCATATTCAGTGCAATCAAATAAATGATTTAGTTTGAAAAAAGTGTCGGTCTTGCAATATGTTGAAATATACTCAAAATTTGGAGGGTCTACGAGTTGAAAGATAATCTTTGTAGTACAATTTTTTTCAATGTTTAGCTATGTTTAGCTGGTTTTTACAATTTACTTGAGACCTTGTGGGTTTACGGTCCAAACAGACTCCAGACTCGAATCTGTATCGGTACCCAGAACGAAAGCTGTGAACAACACCAAAGCTATGAAATTTTTTCTACATTTTTTAGCTCACAAATTTTGTCTGTGTAGAGTGTCTAGCATCTTTGTTGTAATGAAAATGCACCTTAAGGTGAATAAGATGATGCATAGACGTAACGGTAGCAGTGGGAAGTAGTAAATTGCCACTAACGTGTCCCCCGAAGGTATTTTCCTTCCTAAATATAATTTCTATATTTACCCTCTACCTGTAAAAATAGCCAATCCGTTTATTTTCTTACGTACTGAACAAAGCAAAAATAATGACTCGCTGCACCTCGATTATCTGTTAATCTAGTGCGCTGATTTAGGATTTACATTTCATCACTGGAATAATTAAATCTGAATCCCCAATCAAAATTTGGTCCATAACAGCACATGCTTGATTAATCTGTCATGTGTTCAGTTTCCGGTAGAGACCATTACTGTGGGGTTGTGTGTATTTTACCTTTACCTTTGATCATTGAATATAAGCCATGCCACGCTCAGGATTTGTTTCGATATACTTGATAGAGACTATGATGGTAGCGGTGAGCTAAAATGTTTTGTTACATCTAAATATGCCGCTATCGTCCGTCCGACCAGAGGCAGCTAACCATGAACAATCTACTCGTATTACGTGCAAGACTAAGGAGAACGGAGGTAAGAAGAAAGAAGAGAGCAAGCTGGAGAGCAAAGAGGTCGAAGTGCATCAGTTAAAGGGTCTGGCATTGTCAACTAATTATACTTAAACTTGATGTATATTCACTAGGTGGGAGTTCGAAGCTTACTAAATCAACTTGGTACGAAAATTTAAAACTAAAAGAGCAACAGCTGTCAGTAACCGCAAGTATTACTGAGAAGGATGCCATAGCATCAGCATTAGATAGAATCAACATAAGACTCGACGAGGTTGAGGAAAACCAGTTAGTCCAAGAAAAGTCTTATGCACAAATCCTAAAACGAACGTCACCTAACCCTTCTATCTGCATTTTTGTTGCATTAATGAGAGCAATCGAGACAGTATATCACAAATTATTATTAGAAGCATTGGAGAGAATTGGTTTCAGAGGAAAAACGTACTCACTGATCAAAAATTATCCATCAAATGCCCACAATATGTCCAGACATCAGCAAGAAAACGCATATTAAGTGTGGTGTGCCACAAGAAGCAGACTTAGGTCCACTGTTATCCAATATACCTACAGGGTGTTAATCACGTATGTAGACAAACTTTAACCATCGAATCCTTAGTCAATTTGAAGACTAAATGTTTATGTGAACATGGATCCGTAACGGCTTTCTTTTCGAGCAAGAGCACTATCACTAAAGAAATACAAGTAGTGTTCCAAATATTTCTATGAATAATGAAACGTATTTATTGAGCAGTTGGTACAACCTATGATAAATTTTGCATGTTTTACAAGTTGCTAAGGCCCAATATGAACGTGGATGAAAGTAGTATTATCCTGTATTTTCGGAAAAAAAAATTATTTAGGAAGGTCAAGAGTTTTCTACAGTAAGATTTGAATAGAACGGCAATAGAAAATATCGAACTAGTTTTTTTACAAAAAAGTGGCCACGAATTATTTGAGAAAATAAACTATTTCAATGTTTTTGGGTATGTCATACCTGTAGGTATCTAGATAAGCACAATGCTTAAATATTAAAAGTATTGCGATCAAAACAAATCAATGTCAGGCTATTTTTTCAAAAAATACTCGATAATATTATCCGTATCTACGTACATAGAGGGTGTGGAAACAACTGCAGGTCATGTGGTATTCATCGCAGGGGATACTTAATTAAAATAGAATATATGGAAATTTCGCCTTCAAATTGACCAAGAATTCGATGGTTAAGGTTTGTCTACATACTTTATTAACACCCTGTATATGTAAATGATATTTCCAAAATGTGTCGGCAAAATAACCACTTTTGCATATGACTCTGCAATATTATATGACGGCACTGACTGATCTGATCTGAAAAATATAACTGAAAATGGCTTTATCAAAATTATTCGGTGGTTTAATAGTAGAAAATTAAGCATTAACTACTAATAAGACACATTTTTTTCCACTTGCACCTTACGCTAGACATTTGCCAAGTTTCACAAATTTCTCCTTCAACATTAATGATCAAAAAATTGAGTCAATAGAGTGCCAAACATAGAATACCTTGGAATAGTCTTGGATCCTCACTTACGTTGGACATTCATGCAAATTATATTTAAGGAAGGCTAGATTTGTATGGTACAAAATGAAATACCTTGCAAATACACTGACAAAAAATATTTGAACATTATACCATACCTACACTGATTGAGCCTCATCTCACATGTAGTATATTAGCATTGGGAGCTGCATGTTCATCACATATTTCAGAATGTAGATATTTTTCAAAGTATTTTACACCGACCAAGAAATTCAATTAAACATAACCATTGTATAAGGTACAAAATTCGTGGCACAGTAGCTCCACAGCCACATAAGTCTATAATGCAGCAGTCACATCTCTATTTAGCGCCAAAATTCTATGAAATTATACCTAAAGACTTAAAATATTTGCGCTTTGGAAATTTTTTCAAAAGGAATTTGAATCTAGGACTGAAATTCATAAACTCATAAATACGAACATCAAGTAAATACGTAATCTACTGTGACTAATTTTTGTCCTTTTTTGTCATTTGTATTCCACAGTTGCAACTTAAAATATTGATCCATGTGCTCCTACTGTGCCTGTTTTGATTCCTCATTTATCTACTAATGTTGTTTGTTATCTTTGCACATTGAGTGAATAAATATTATTATTATCGCAGGTCGACACCATTTCTACTTTAAACAAAATGTATCTCTGAGCATGTTTACGCTACGGGCGTCACTTACTTTTTATTTTATTTCCTCGAGGTGCAGAATCTATAGCTTGTTTTTCCTGCGAACCCACCTTTCTTTTCGTGCCGCTTTCTTTCACCTGCTCTCCGGAATTTTAATAAGCTGGAGCTGGAGAGAGACAACGAGGGTCTCGGCAGAGCTGGGAAGTCTAAGGACTTAATGAAGACGAGCCCACTTGGATAATTGTGAGAGATCCTGATAAAATTGGAGCTTTCTATTACATTATTCACTGCATTTCAAATAGGGAGGCTTTTTATACTTGACGGACCACCGCGAGGGCGAGACCTGAATGTTAATGTGGCGTGACTGCAAGAAGGGGGAAAAGACGGAGGCTGTTTTTGATATTTTGACTCTCGATTCTGTATTTGGAACGTACGAGGGTTGATCCAGGAATTTGGTTACCGACAAGCTCCAGCTATAATTGGAGGTGCGAGTTGAAAGCCGGCAACACCGTGAGATGGCCCAACGCGAAGTGCTTTAAATCACGATAAACATGTTGCTCACATTCGATGGACAATGATTCTGCTGCTCCACTTCGTGTTGGACTATCTCGATAAACGCCTTCGAGAATGACAGTCTTCTGCTGTCTTTCGATAGGCATCAAACTTCCTGCACCACTTTTGGACGTCTTGAACAGACATAGACTTGTCGCCATACACCTCTGTCAACTTCAGTTTGGCGTGCAAAAAGCAAACTGATCGAATCTCGCGCTTGGCGACTGGAGATATTTCTGAACCATACTTCTGATTCTATTTTCTTTCTGTATATCACAAAGCGTATCTGTGCAAAGAGGCATGCTCATAGTCAAAAATGAACTCAAACAAAGTTTCATAGAGGTGGGATTCAAAATTTTGCTATACTTTCAATCAAAATTTAAAAAATAGACTGGTGACGACATCTGAACAGATTGTAGTGGAAACTGTGGCATTCAGATATGTATATGGTTATTAACCTTTATTACACTGTTTTTATAATTGGCAGATCCTATATTTAGAGACTAGACATGTCGTTCTATGACCCAGTGTTTTTACATTTCTTCACACTATCTCCACTCTTCTCTAACAGAAGGTCTCGGAGCACTCTCGTACCGAGGGGCCGTCGGCCATCTAGCTCAATTCTATCACTATGTCAATAAGCTTTGCTCCCACAACGTCAACGCGGGTGATCCCCAGGGTTCGATCTTGGCTCACTCATTGTTCCTTTTACATACGACTTCCTCTCTGACGACAGACCTATAGGTTATTGCTGCTTCGATACGAAACGGCCTGGTAGATTCTAGTGCTTCCAAAAGACTGTACCTTGAAGAACAAGAAGCGTCCCAGCGCTCATTCGTTTTCGATGGATGGTCGAGTACTATCCAAGAGCCGTTCATTTCGGCTGGTCGGAGTCCAGATCACCGATAACTTGTTCTGGCACGAGCACATCTCGTCAATAGAGGCAGCTGCTGGGAAAAAGCTAGGCATTTGTTCAGGGCTAAGAAGAACTTTTCTCCACATGTACTCTGTACGAGTACTGCTCACATGGTATGGATGCTGCCTCTCCAACGTCATTATCCATGCTTGGTGATGTTCCCCTAAACCATGTCGAAATTCCTACAGCCAGAATTGGCCGCTCCTTTGTTCCTAGCCTGTTGAAATTTTGAAACAACCTACCCGAGGTGTTTTTAGCACTAGCAGTCGCGGCGCCCCGGTATTCACGCTTCTGCCTACGTGGCTGCTTCGACAAAAAGGTTTGGCAATCTGTCGGCCTGGTTATCCAGAAACAAGAGCACGTGAATGAGAGGGGGAAAAGGAAGGAATTAAGAAAGAAAAAGAGCAGTCGGTTAAAAAAGCAGCTATTAGTAGAAAAACCGCATTATTCAAATGACTGGAGGATACTTTTATAAAAGGGCTTGGAGAAGCACTATTAACTTTGTCCACAACCTGTTTGACTGTATGGTCCACAAAATATTGGAATGCCGTTCTGCCTGTTCAAAGCATTGCCGCCCTTAACACTGATATTAGGAGTGTCAATATTTCTATTTAACATAGAGAAAGAATGATCTCATATAAAACGTAATAATGATGATAATCATCTTATAGAGCTAATTTTTTAATGACTGCTTAGGTGATTGTCGCCATGTGACAAAGTCTGGTAAGTTGACTTCTAACTTCAGCGGCATCGATGCAGAAATCTTTATTCTCATTTATAACGAGTGTTTCAGTTTCGACTCTCACCATTGGGATCTTGGACACGGTATGAGATACGAAGTTGCTTGGGTGGGGACAAAGTCGAGAATTTAGGTAACTAACAAAATGGCATTTAGAGAGTTTCGCAGTTCCGGAGTATTTCGGAAAGAAGCCAAATGTTCCCAAATTATCTTTATTTTTCTGACTTCATTTCAATAAAGATTCCAAAACAGAAAACACATCAACATTACCACTTTTTCTCCTCTACAAGATGGCATAATTAGTATCTCAATATGACGTTTCTTCTAAGGTCCTGAATATGTAACTATTTTTGGTTATAGGTGTCACATTGAATGTTTCCAAGGGTGAATAGAGTTTCTAATTCTGATGACGTGGTCAAACCTAAAAATAGCGTTTTCATTAATCAATTTCAAGCGGATAACCAAATGGAAATGGTATTTACCATTTTAGGTTAGCATTTACCAATCCGTTCAAGCGAGTGTAGTTATCAGTTTGGTTATAAGATCCGTGACGTCACGAATCAGCTGTTATATGTCATAGATATCACCGCAAATTGTGGTATTCACCCAACTCAAGAGTAGTTTTATATTTCTGGTTATTATTTGAAATGTGACAAGTTAGAATTTTGCCGGGTATTGGATATTGTTATTGTACTTCAGCTTCATTTTTGAGAAAAATGATACAGGCTGACTTCAGTTTTACCATAAAGTGGATCACCTTATTAGTTATACTCATTACGGTTGTTGGGGATACTTTAAATGTAGTTCCTATGCTTAACAAAGTATCCTGTGTAGCCATATACCACAAGAATATTAAAATATGGCCATATAAACTCACTAGATGATATCCACCTGTATACGGTTTTGCTAATTTCTTTTTTCATCATTTCTGCTGAATCAATAAATGTTTTCTTTGACATGCGGAAAAATTAAGAGAATTTGAAAGTTATCATAGCTATAAAGCCATGGTTCCATCATTAAAAAAAAATCTGAAAAAAACATTTCTCCCATGAATATTATGAAAGGTTTCTTATTTAAACTTTCCATATACAGTTGTAGACGAAAAAGCACCGATTATTAAGTGATAATAAAAATAATCAGAGATTATATACGCGCTTTTCTAAAATAAACAACTTGCAACAAAACCGCGGTTAAAACCAACGCGTTCAAGCGAGTCGTGTAACTGACGTCATCAACCCCTGTGTCATCTTGAACCATATTATAACCGCGGCACATAACACAGAAATTGTGGTTATTCGCTTGGATTTGATTATTGTCATCCTTGAAAATGACAGTTTATCATACGTTTATCTGACTAACTTACCAGTGCTTCAGTTTTTGATAAGTGTATTCATAGGATATTCAGATAATTCACCCATTTGTCGGATATAACACCATGGAACAGCTCTAAATGACACCTCAGCCGTAGATTAACAGTATTAACTAATACACTGCCACGTAAAATTGACCGGACAAAAAAAAATTAGTTCAAATTAAATTTTAAATGACTCTTTAACCTTTGCATCAATTTTGTTAATTTTTCATCAAGTTGTAGGTAATGTCACTGTCATCATTATGGACGGCCGATCTTGCAAACAAATTGAAAATGTTTGTTGTTATACAGGACGTAACTAAAAGGCGCATTTTGTCCCAAATTTCAGAACACCCTGTGGAATCATTGGATTACTGAATAATGTGTCTTGATATGAGAATATTAAGCCTTAATATCTCAGTTATTGAAGAAGATCATGCAAATCATAGCCATAAACAGGAAATTATTTCCTGCAGGCTTTGCCGGGTAAGAAATTGTTTCAAGTAGGCCGTGTCTATTAGCATTTTTATTACATGTCAAAAAGATTCTTGTCAAGCAATACTCAACAAATATGACACCGGAACAATTAGCGCAAACTGTAGCTTTACAAGATGATAGTCGTCCTATTCGGTTTATCGCAGAAAGGGTTAGTTCTTACTCAAGAAGACCTGAGCAGGGAAGACGAAAAGCAACAAACGCAGTTGAAGATCGGTTATTTTTATCTGTTACATAAAATCATACTATCTTCAATGTGCTCAATACGACCCTTAAATAACATGAAAAAGCCTCAATACAATACAATATTCGATGAGTTAATACCAACTATTGAAAGGTTACTTTTTTAGTCATTTGAAGTTTTATAATATCAATCTATGTAATGATATGTACAATGTCACATCGTTAAAATCGGAAATAGGGACTTTTCAGCTACGCCTAGTTTTTTATACTGAAGCAGCCGCGCAGGCAGAAGTCTAAACACCAGGGCACCGCGGCTACTATGAGGAGTGGAAAGAAACTTTGTTAATCTGATTTTTGAACTGATCAATGTCAGTAGAACTAGGAAAAGCCTCCTAAGGCGGATTGCTCCACAATCACCCTTGGGACAGAGGAGCAGTCCTATCGGCCAGTTTTGAATGTATGTAGTTCTTGGCACATCACTCAGCGGCATCAAGGAGGAGAGCTATGAGGAGCAAATCGGTAGAAGAGTGCGTATCTCTTACCGTTTCTGAGATATCTCTTACCGTTTCTGAGATTCCAATAGTGAGGATCAAATTTGAAGCACTTTATATACTGACTCTTTGCCTGACAAGGTCGTACACAATTAAGGAAGACCGGGAAAACAACTGAGGCGCAGCAACAAACTGAAAAGTTTTCTGTTTATATTCCTTGTGTCTCAAAGGTCTAAAACTCTTTGATCGAGTGATTTAGTTCTACTTCGCACCTCGCAGTCACAGAATCGAACTTCGATCAAAGGAGAAACCGTAACACGTCTATGCTCTAGTCTCGATATAACGATGCACGGTTCGACGCCCCCAATTTAAGACAATACCGCTTCCATCGTCTGGCAGGGTATTCGCGAACTGTACAGTTATAACGATCCGAATCTTGAACTGATACAGGAGGACGTGCCATCATCTCGTCATAGAGTGACGATGCATTTTTTTTGAGGAGCGCTACGATTGTTGGCTGAGCGACTGATGGATGCGAAGGCTTGAAAGCGAATGCTTCTCATGTCTGCTCCTCATTATCGACTGCCGCGGGTTTTCGTTGTTTGCTACCGACGAGGATGCTAAAAGGTCGGATGTGCAAGGTAGATATTTCTCTGTCAGTAAAACTAGCTTCCTTGCTGTGCTTTGTTGTAATGCTACTTTTATAGTGCAGTAGAAAATCGACCAAGCACTAAATTTTTTTTGGAATGAGACTTGGAGTGAGTACTCATCAATACCTTTCATTTAAGAAGTGGTGCCCAAGTAGCTCTGGAGGAGGAACTGATATACAGGGCGTTGCACATCACGAAGGCGCAAATTCGTGATTTCTATGATTTGAGTTATTCGATTACTTCTAGCAGATCTGCTGTCACATTTTGACTTCTCCTTGTTGTGAATATCATTCCCGCGCTGCGTCAATGCTCGCTGAACTGCATTACCTACATTATCCGCGACGTTTTCCCAGGATATCTATTTCGACCGATCCACTCTGTTGCACCAGAGTGAAGCTCATCAGGAAAAAAGTTGTCAATGATCCCTCACTTTTGTGCTCGAATGGGGGGTGGGTGCATATCTCGCAGACTCCAATTTGATATTTTCTCTAGTGTGGAAATAACACGCCAGAGTGACACGGGAGGTAGATTGGCTTCAGATCAATCAAATAAAATCAACATACCTTTGTGAATGTTTTCTAGTTTTCGAGATACTGCTACTTTTAAGTTATTTCAAAAAACCCCAACTTTTTGCTTGTTATGCCTTTTAAAGAACTTATTATTTTTTTCGTGGGCTACCAATAAGACAACTGGTGCAAAAATGAGACAGCCGAAGTTTCGGTCAAAAACAAGACATTCAATTTTTCCCAATGCAAAAAAACAATAACATTGTAAAACATACGTTACAAATTACTTCCACATATATACAACTGAAATATGTAATGAATAATAAATAAACGTAAACACAAACATCGAGAAAAAAGCTATCGCATCTGTCTGTGCATTTTGCTTAATAAATCTTTTAAATTGTATTTACAAATTTTGTATGGCATTTTCAAAATAACAGATGCGGCTATGATATTCCATATCGAATTTAGTCTATTTTTATTTGTTGGCAGACACCACAAAGTTTAAAAACAAGACACCTGCCAGGTAAAAAACAAGACAACTTTTATACCTTTGATAATAATGCCAAGGTTTACGTTTCCAAAAAGCGCCCCTACGACAAAAAGGACATGGAAACAGCCCCAAAGCTAATAGATAATGGCACTTTATCTCTTAGAGATGCAGCTAAACAGTTTAAAGTTGACAAATCTGCTCTTTCGAGAAGACGTACTCGTTCACTTGGTAAACAGGGAAGAAAAACTTCTCTAACCAAAGAAATGGAAGTAGACTTACGTGATAAGATAAAAATTATGGCAGAATGGGGGTTTGCTCTCACTAAATGAGAGATACAAGCAATAGTTCAAACCTATGTACAAGAAAACCACCTTATTACCCAGTTTAAGTAAGGAAAGTCCGGGAAAGATTGGTTTAAAAATTTTTGTAAGCGCAATAGACTAAGTCAAAAAAAGCTTGAGCAACTGGAAAGATGCAGGACAGCTGCAAGTGATCCATTCATCATCTTCGGCTTTTACGCTCGCCTGAATACTTGCGTATCTGATTTCAAATTGCAAGACAAGCCTAGACCCATTTGGAATTTAGACGAGATCAGTTTTTCTTCCGACCCAACCAGAATAAAAGGCGTTGCTGGTATTGTGGTATCAGAAAGTTCACCGGAACTTAGAGGGGTCAGGAAAGGAAAATACCACCGTAATGGCCTGCATTTCAGCAAGTTGTACTTTGTTACCTCCTCTAATAATTTTCCAAGGGCAAAATTTATGGAGCAGTTGGAAAGGTAAGATGTTAGCCTTTTGTTACTTAAAATATGGTTAGTATTAATGAAAATATGTTTTTTAGGTAAGACCGATTTACCGAATACATGTTATGCAGCCTCAGATAAGGGATGGATGACTTGTCAGATTGTTCAAGAGTGGTTCCAAAAGTTTTGTGCACAGGTTCGTGAACGCCCAGTTCTTGTCATACTGGATGGACATGTTACCCATTTGGATAAATCGACGATAGAAATGGCTGTGTAAGAAAATATAACTTTATTGAAACTCCCCGCTCATACAACTTACTTGCTGCAACCGCTTGACAGATGTTGCTTTGGTCCATTAAAATTTAAATGGAATAAAGCTTTGATTAACTGGCAAAGACTTAATCAAAGAAAACCCCCTAGAAGTGAATTTGCATTTGCAGCATTTGGAATGAAGGTTTATCTGCAAAAACTATTAAATCTTCGGTTGAAAAGGTTGGGATATTTCCATGCGATAAGAATATATATCCAGAAGATCGCTTAGATCATGCAAAGCTACTTAGATATAAAGAACATAGGGTGTTTGAAAATCCGCTTAATATTTTCGAAGATTGCGATGAAGAAACTCCACTACCGCAGACCGAACAGTTTATTGAATCTGTTCCAGATCAATCTAACAGTGATTCCTAAAAGCCATCTAGCTCCTTTGAATCGTTACTTCTGGAGAAAATTCGAAGAACCCCAAACATAACAGCAAGAAGAAGAAAAATAGACTCTATGGCAAAAGTCCTAACAACAGGAGAATATTTAAAGGAAATACAGGAGAAAGAACAAAATAAGAAAAGTCATAAAGGTGTGAAATCTACAAAATCAAGAAAAGCAAAGCAAAAGGCGAGTAAAACAGTAGTTGAGAGTGACGGTGAAAGCAGCATTAACGAACAGCCAGTTTACCAAGATGAAAGCGATGTAGAGGGTTTGACTCTCGAAGATATTATTGAAGAGAATGTGATGACAACTAATCAGAAAATAGAGAAACAAACCATGAAATTACGGAAGCATATGAACTTAGGGAAAATTCTTCCCATTTCTCAGAACTAATCATGGGATCTCTTTGATTCCATGAGAGCTTCTGTGCAGGAAAGCGAGAAATATATCGTACTGAATTTTTAGGCGAATTGATTGAGACCCATTTTCCATATCGTATGTGCGGGGTCCGTGTAATTTGGATATTCTCTCATTGCAACAATAGAGTGAGCGGGCATGCCGTCATTAATGAATGTGATTCTGTTTCTAACTGAAATTGCTACTAATTCTGGCAATATGAGTACATCCACCTATAGAAACTGGCGATTATTAGGGCGATTTAGCCTTTCTGGTAGGAAAAGTGGTCTAATTAAGTGATTTCAAACAATGCGTGCCAAGAAATTTACCGAAAATTGTTATAGATCGTTAAGCTCTACAACTGCGTGGGGACTTTGACGGCCCAAATGTGTTTATTGTTGAAATCTCTGATTGTGATTCTGTAAAATAAACAGGGCTGCCATGTCTACAAACGCGTATCGCTGCAACCTGAGAATGTTTTACTTTCTACGCCACTGATCGAAGAAGTATTGCAATCGTGAAAAATTTCCAAAATGAGATGTGTAACTCTTCCGTCGGTTTGTCGACCTGTCTGTTTGTCTGTCCGCTAATCCTTGACCCGTCTATAGCTTGAGCTGGGATTTTGACGAAATTTTCACATAAGCTTGCTATTATGCCAGCGGCAAAAACTGGTAGCAACGGAGAAAACAGCCAAGAACGTAAAAAATAAAAATCACATCCTTTGACGTTTCCGAGGTTCCTGATCATTTTCGGAAACATTTTTGTAGCGGTTGGAATTTGGGGGCTGGGGGCTGGAGGTTATAGAGAGTGGGGGGAGGGTATATGAAACTGTTTCGGTCTCAGTATATTTATACTCTCGCAACTCCGGTAATTCTGTTTACCTACTAGCCGCACTTCACACAACATAGAGTTACCCGTACGCTTGCTTGAGCCCAATAACCAGAGAAGCGGTCGGGCTGTCTAATCTATCCGTACTGCACCACAAAAAAGGTATACATGAACCATGCATGAAATTAATGATACCTCGCTGGAGCGATGTAGCGCTGATAGCTGCCATGCAGATGTGGAAAGGGACAACTATGAGGAATGGACAGTATCTACCGGTAGGGCAGCGAAGGAACGTCTGTGGACTGATTATATGGGCCGGTATGGCTGACTTAATCAGTTAAACTTCTCCGTTGTACTACCTTTTATCTCAGATTATTTTAAATTGCAATAAACTTAATCCGTTATGATCTGATGGCGGCGTTGAGTAGGAAGCGCAGAGACAACCCACTTGACGCCAACATTTCCATGATAAGCCTGATAGAGGGCAAAATCACGCTTGTAACGAGTTTGCACTACATGGAAATTGAATTAGAAACCTTTTCAAATGCGTGGGAGGTATCGTCTTGACGCCATTTTTTCAATTAAAAGGATCTTCCGCCTCTTAGTGAACTAATTAACATTTCCATATAAAAAACAGATCCGGGCAAACTGTAAAGTGGGATGCCAAAAGCAGATAATCGAATTCGAATGGCATAAAAGTTTTATTGAACTGCTCGAACTTCACCGACGAGGTTCGAAACGCGATGGTGAGTAGGTTGTGTATTGAGTAAGTGCTTTCAGATATAAACCGGCGTTCGCTGTTGGAATTGTTCTCCTAGAATTTCAAACGCAGACCGCGATATGGAGATAGAGATCTATCCGCAAATATTGACGCTGATCTCGGAGTGCTATTTGCACTCTTTCTGAGGATTTGCATCTCAAGTGCTTTCTTTCAAAACACACCTACACGAAAGTTCAGTTACCGTGTTTATCTTATTTCTCGCAATATCGTTCTCACTTACAACAGTCAAAATAAGATGGCAAACAGAGTGGCCTCACCAAAGAAAAAAAATATTAAAGCTATTCGAGCAGCTTATGCTCTTCCGCCAAGTCGAATGTTTCTCTAGAAGACAAATTGGAAGCAGTTGCAGCATGCATTTACACCTATTCGAGACTTGAACACAGTCTTGCTGACTATTATTATTGTTATAGTTACAAAATAATTACAAATACTATAAGCTCATGTCCAAAAGGAAAATGTAGTCTACGAATAAGTAGTGTAAAATACATAAAACAAAAGCAAAAACTTCGTATCTATCAATTTTGTTCACTGTTCCACCTATCATAAATCATTTTGTCAATCAATCAAGTATTCTGAAGGTAACTAGATCTTCTCGAATTCTTCGGTCGGAGAATGTGGTCGAATGGAATAACTTGAGGCGATCCTCATAGCTGAGTCTGCTAGCTCATAATGGGATTTCTGTCTGTTTCCCATGTAGGGCTAGCAAATTCAAGAATTGGTCTTACAAATGTCTTGTGAATGAAGGCGCAAGTGTTGGCGTCAGATCTATTGAAATACCTCTTCAGCATGTATAGAAGCGTCTTGGCTTTGGTTGGAACGTGATTACAACTCCAAAATAAATATGAGCGCCTCAAAAGTAGAATCAGGGACCGTACATACGAGCTGAGGATTGGTTTCACTGAGGTAGTAGACATCTATCTGACCATTGACGAAAAATTTGAAGATCTCGCTGAAGCAGAGTTTGTAACGGTGTTCTAAATCTTCATGACATCGTCATGAGGAGAACATGTAGAGCAAGGCGAGTAGGTCACTTGTGTACAACACAAACAGCATATGACCCAAGACAGAAAAACTTCTCTTGGTGAGAAAAGCCTCAATCCATCGCATCAACTCGCGCCTAATTCCAACTCGCTACACATTGGAAAAAAGCCTCTCAATAGCCCTAGAGAAGTCTAGATATATTATGTCAACTAAAGTGTTCATGTCCAGGGACTGTGTCCAATCGTTGAGACGGTAGAGACGGTCCGCGCAGGTTGTTAGGGATGTTTTTCGAAAGCAAATCTTGAAAGCTTTTCTAATATGATTCGAATTTTTACATTCCCAGTGTAACTCCTGAAACTTTTCCTGTGATGCTCTTGATTACAGGACTCCATTATCTTTAGATTTCTGTTCACGTTTCGACCACCACGAATTCAAGTGCAATTAACATCTGTGAAAATATATTCAGTTTTCTGTCTTCCAGGTAGCAATTTGTTTCTGGCTTCTTGTTTCCTATCTGCCTGTCCAATGTATCAGACACGCCACCATCGTTCCTTCATTCCAGAAACGCCAAAAGTTCTCTGAGAACGCTAGAACTCACCCAGAACTATTGTCGCAACAAACAGATTAATTGTTGTGCAATTTTCGACTACAAATGCTTAATGTGCATTGTTCATGAACCTGAAATGCGAGAAATAGTACTTTGATCTGAAAGGAACCATGTTGTTTGTCTTGTGAGGAAATAATATAAGACACAGCAGGTTGCCTTTGAAATGGCGAAGTAAAGCATCTATGGATTTAAGATCCAACAGAAAAACCTAAGAATAGACCTGGAAGTAGAATCCTTCAGTTGATTTGGAGAATATGCATTGAATCTTTCCTTCAATTTGGTAGGGCCTCCACGTGTATTTGTGTTACGCTGCTGATGGTGGAAGAATCTTTTTTAATGCTAAGTAGAAAGAGATAAGGGCATGAGTAAGAACTAAGTAAAAGATGAGCAGCTGACCGCTGGAGTATTTTTCTTCACTGAGGCTGCCCAGGCATCCTACTCCAGGAGCACAGTGTTGTCTAAGTACTTTAAACAAGAGGCTGGCGCCTAAGATGCTATAGTCCCTTAAGGCGGTTTCCGCAGCAGCATGAAAAAGGGCTTCAAACATGTTAGGTGCAGACCGTACAGCTGGTGCAGCCTATCCCAAACATGAGGGCAGCCTTCCAAGACTTGCGTTCTGAATATGATTCCTTAACTCAAGAAATTAATACAAAAATAATGACGATTTTTTGGGTAGCTTAATTAGCACCAACCCCTTGCATAATTAGTAACGTCACAAGGTCAGGGAACTGACAAAAAGCAGACAAATTACTTACCTATTTAGAGCAACAATGCTTGCCTACGCGTGTTCTTATACAAATACAATTCTCCAAAAGCTTTAAGCAAAACGCAACGAGTATAATTAGTACTTTAATTACCATTTTAATAAACCCAGAAAAGCAACAACCAGCTGCATGGCAGCCTTCTATCCAGGTTAGGAAATTGTAAAACTGGACATTATGAGTTGCTAACGATGCTACTATAGGGAGTATATCTGATATACCCGAGAATATTGTAGGTTCATTATGAAGCTTAACAACTACCTTTCAGCACGTGCCTCGCCAAAAGGAAAACTATATTTGTATTACTGTCTATCGACTGACTAGCTTTAATATTACTTTAGGTGCGTACCACAAAATGTAGCTGCTTTAAACATTTACGGTGGCTAATGGGCTTCACCGCTAAAGCAAAAAGTTCCAGGAAGCTCCATTAAAATACAATTTCCTGGTGAAGTGGCTTAAAACATGACTGATATATAGGTTCAGATAATTAGTAGTCACTAAGGTATATTTTAAACAAGGAAAAGTTTCTTGAATCGGAACCGAGTTTGAAGGTTTGTAGCAAAGCAAGCGAGTAGTTACTTTAACGTTTTCGAAATAAACTCACACACTACGTACTTACCATTGTTCGAACCTGTGTCGGACTCACCTAAAGATAAAAAATACATATTTAGTATTCCTGTCAACTGATAACAGCCATAAAAAGTGGCAGAGCGATAGGAATTTTGACAAAAGCTACCGACATTATTCCAAAGTATGCACAATCTCGACATATACCTTCAACGAAAGTAGCATCCGATACCTCCAAGAGGTATGAGGATGACTTACAGTAATATTCCATTCAGCAAGCCTATTATTTATCGTCTAACTTGTACCTTGTCTTTGTGAAAGTCGAAGAGAGATTTCAAACTAAAATA